ATAACACAGCTTTGAAAGCTGTTATAAAAGGTTTTCACCCATTGAAGGAAGTCTCGACCAAAGTTAAACTTTTTAAGACTCTCAATGAGAAATTCCCATTCCACACTATCAAAAGCTTTTTGAAAAACTATAAACAGCAGTAAACCTGGGACGTTTTCCTTAGCTGTGAAGTCCATAATATCGAAAATAGAACGTATTGCTTCACCAATGAAACGATCTTTAACATAACCAGTCTGGTTGTAGTGAATGATACTGGGTAACACCTTTTTACCCTTGCTGCGATCACCTTGGACATAATTTTCGTATCTACATTAACAAGAGATATTGGCCGCCAGTTTTCGAGGAGAGCGCGATCTTTTCCGCTTTTCTCAAGCAGAGTAATTACGGCCTGTTTTTGTGAGCATGACATTTCCCCTTTTTCGAAGCATTCATTTGCACACCTGATAAAACTTTCGCTTATTAAAGGCCAAAATTTTCTATAGAATTCAGCTGGAATGCCATCATTTCCAGGGGATTTATTACTCTGAAAGCTATCCAAGAGTTCAGAACATTCTTCTGGAGAAATTAATCCTTCACAGGAATTTTTTTCCTCCTCTGAAAGCTGGGGAATATTCAGATCGTTCAAAAATGAAGATATTTTCTCTCCTATATTAGGACTATTAATGCTGCTTTTGTACAATTCTCTGTAAAAACGTTCTTGTTCTTTTAGTACACAGTGCGGATCCGTTGTAATTTTACCATTTATGCACAGTTTTCTTATATGCCTCTTAACATGGTTCCTTTTTTCTAAGTTTAAAAAATATTTTGTACTTTTCTCTCCATGTTCATGCCATCTAGCACGTGCTCGTTTTATTAATTTTCGTCAGAGTGTAGAAATCTGGTATTCTAGGTGGATTATTATTTTCTTGTCATGTCATCAATAAGATTTTCACGGTGAAGATCCGTAATTAGGCCTAAGACCTTGCTGTGCGTTTCTTTCACCACGGGTTCAGAGAGAGGTCTGTAGTTATGTTTGTCGTCGATTTGTATTTGACCCTCTCTTATTTTGTCAGTTTTGTTCATGACTACTGTAGTGCTCCCCTTGTCCGCTTTTTTAAGGTTGATGTCTGTATTTTGCTTTAATCCTGTTAATGCTTCGTATTCCTTGCGTGACGAGTTATTTTTTGGCCTTGTTATTTTTATCTCTGCGAGTTGTGATTTAACTTCTTCCAGATAGCTCTCGAGGGCTACTGATGGTTGAACCGGTGAGTTCCAGTCAGATTTAACGTAGAAAGGGTGAACTTCCCGATTTTTTCCGTGGAGCATAAATGTGTGTGAGTGTTGTTCAAGCGTTTGACCAAAACAAATTTTCTCAAAATATTATCAAGAGATTACAACAGTCCTGAAAATAGCTCCTATGGGTTTCTGCCTTTACCCAATCCCACCCATTTTCATACATTGTGTTATGTTTGTTTTGTTATGTTATTAGTTATCGAGTAGTTAAAAAAAATCAAAAACTTGTAATATTGTAAATGATTAATATTTAACAAAAATTAGTAACATTGCTAATTATTAATTATGATTAAAAATTAATTTTTAATCATTACCCACACCCACAGCCACACCCACGACCCACGACCAGAAACGCTGCAGAAACAATGGCCTCCCACGGTCCCCACGAGAAAAGCTTCAACTTTTTACAGTTCTCTCCCTACGTGTGAAAGGTAGCTGAAGGTCTCTCCTTACAAGAAAGGAATATACTATTTGTAGATCGCTACGTAAAACAGAAACCTATTCACTTGGATACCGATAGTTAGGAATAGGAGGGCTTTTAATGCAATGTCCGTTAGAAATAAAACTGAAATTTAACTTGCCTTTCCAAAAACACAGGTATTAGGAACCCCAAACATTGACCCTAGAACGGCCATAATTTTTGGAATTTCCGGTTAGATCTAATCAGTCACTTGACACTGTCATGCCATATTATGGGAAGGAGGTGCGTTGTGGAAAGTCCTGGTTAAAAATAACGCCAATCGTTTCTTGTTTCAAAGTGCAAACTTGCTAGGTATTTTTATTCATAACGGTACAAGTTACTTTACAGCCTCGGCTTTAGAAAGGCGCAGTCGACAGACCAATGAACCCCCATTGTGGGGGTCTTGTTGTATATGGGATGAAATTGTTTAGAATGAGTTCTTTCTTCCAGTCATAGTTGTTCCTACCTCAAAATTTTATTACGGAAACTATTTGGTTTTGAAGCAATGAAGACTGGATTTTTGTAAATACAAGACTGCAGATACTCGTACTATAGACTTGAATATGAAAAGATACCTCGCCAAATCAGTTTATATTTTAGCCTGCAGTGCAGGCGTTTTCTTCGGGTGCGCGAATGTTTTTGCTCGCGAAAGCGCCATGTTGAAACTCCCGAAGAGAGGATGAAATGGGGCGAGTCAAAGGGAGCGGGGAGGGGGCGGAAAGAGAGAGAGGAGAAAATCACATTTGCTCAGTCAAAACATAGGATCCTCCAGAGCATAATCTACTCGTCAGAAAAAACGTATTGGAAAAAGCAGCATTTTGGCATGAGGGAAAAGGGGTGTAGGTTTTAGCACTATGAGCAAATCTTATCCTGATGCCACTGTATACGTAGAAATCGCTTTGACTTTCTTATCGCGTGATACACGCGACATTCGCAGCCGCTCCAATTCAAAAAGACTTGTTTCGACAGCCGAGTTAAAATTCGAATTTATGTCCGCCATTTCTGAATTCAGAATAATTCTTTCCCGCAGTTGCGTGCAAACGAAACGGAATAATTAATACAGACTTACAGTTAATTGGCAGGCATCAATCTACTTCCCCTATGCGGCACCAATCAGGAGCTCCGTTTTCCAGCGTACGGAGTTTCCCAAAAGAACAATGATATCGGGCGGGCGTATTTTTCTCCCCCCCTCCTCCCTTTCCTTTTTCGCTCTCCCACCTACCCCAAGCGGTTACTATTTCTACTCTCCCCAATCTTCCTCTGTCATAAAATCAAACATGGCGGCTACAACATTACGAACATGAACAAGCTTTCGCCCACCCAAAATACGCCTGCACTGCAGGCTATTAATATTTAAAATAAGAAACTTGTATTTTCATAAGATAAAATGTTTTCCTACCTATTTCTAAATGGCCAAAGGCTAATTATTATAGCCTGTGAACAAGCTCTCTTTTTGGGGAAAGGGTGAAAAAATCGAGGCTTTACATGTTGTTGAGCTTCGAAGAGCCAAAGCTCTAGCAGACCTAGAGTCAGATCGGTATTTTGTGGAGAAAGAGGTATCCCTCAACCCAGAATCGTTTGCTGGCATCTTGAAGGTCATCAGAGATAGCAGTAACAGAACGTGCCTATACATTTCCTACCGTGGTGAAGATATATTTCTTTGGACTGCAAAACAAAGCAAGCAGATAGCTTTCTGAAAAACGAAACTTTCTGAAAGCTATGTTAGCAAGCACGGAGAAATGTCTGTGGATGACCTTTTCAAAAAGGAAAACTTATTAAGAAATTTTCACGTCTTACCTAACCTGTAAACAGGCTCTCTGTTTGGGGAAAGTGTGAAAAAAAATCGCAAGGTGAGGGAATGGAAAGGGTGAGAGCCTGTAGAAAAACATCTCAGGCCGTCGTTCCACGGCAACCGCTGAGCATCAGATCCTGATGCAAGCTATTGGTGAGAACACTGACTTTTGACAGGTTTGATTTACATCGCTTTTTTGGTCCGCACGTAGCACGCGATTTATTTTAAATAATCGCTTGTAAACGAGTCTTCTGATCTTTAACATGGCGTCTTCTGGAGCTTGCCTGGTGAGCTTTTTTAGCGGCTATAAATGTTCTTGTATCTTCAAGGTAAGTACGTGGTATAAGCAGAAACAACAGCCGCAGAAAATCAAGATGCGTGTCACGAACTCTCAGTATGAAATAAGCGGCAAACACTCACGAACATAATCTACCCGCCAGAGAAGAAACTCATTGGAAAAAGCAGTATTTTGGCACGAGGCAAAAGTTGTGTACTGCCTACCGATCCCCTTTTTACACGCGAGAGTGATTACATTCCAGTGTATCCAAGTGACAGATAACGATCTTGCTGACAGATGATCGGCAATTACAAGACAAGAAGGCGGAGTACCCTCTCCCTTCCCTCTCCTCGCGATTTTTTCACCCTTTCCCCAAACAGAGAGGCTGTTCACAGGCTAAATTATTATAACATTTCGAACTGCCTTTCTTTTTTTTTCTCAACATATAACCTTGATAACTCTACTTCCGTAGAACTATTTGCTTAATAAATCTGGTCTTGTTTTTACCCTAATTATATGTTTTAGACAAGACCCTCATGGACAAGGTTCTACAATCGATTTACCCCAGCATGACTGCAGCTGCAGATTTTCTTTCGAACACTAAACGACTTGTGCAAGCTATCGAGCTGTGGAAAGAGTGCTTAACATTCCTAAATAACAAACACTTAGAGAAAGAAAATGACCTTGCCAGAAAAGTGAGTATGATGCTGTACAGTAGGCTGTGTCTTGGGTATGCTGCTATTTACAAACTTTCTCCCGCTATAGAATATGGCAAAAAGCTTTTAGTCCTGCTTCGTAAATGTAAGAGAAAAAAGGAAGAATGCGACACAGCCGGGATGCTAGCAATACTGTACTATCAAAAAGGTGAATACAAGGAAGCACAACAATATCTTCAGAAAGCACTTACCATCAACACAGAAATTGGCGACAAACATGGACAAGCGTCATGCTACATAAACCTAGGAAACGTGTTTCGTTCTGTCGGAGAATATGCCAAGGCTGAAGAATATCTTCAGAAAGCACTTACCATCAACACAGAAATTGGCGACAAACACGGACAAGCGTCATGCTACATAAACCTAGGAAACGTGTTTCATTCTGTCGGAGAATATGCCAAGGCTGAAGAATATCTTCAGAAAGCACTTCCCATCAAGACAGAAATTGGCGACAAACACGGACAAGCGTCATGCTACATAAACCTAGGAAACGTGTTTCATTCTGTCGGAGAATATGCCAAGGCTGAAGAATATCTTCAGAAAGCACTTACCATCAAGACAGAAATTGGCGACAAACACGGACAAGCAACATGCTACATAAACCTAGGAAACGTGTTTCATTCTGTCGGAGAATATGCCAAGGCTGAAGAATATCTTCAGAAAGCACTTCCCATCAAGACAGAAATTGGCGACAAAGACGGACAAGCGTCATGCTACATAAACCTAGGAAACGTGTTTCATTCTGTCGGAGAATATGCCAAGGCTGAAGAATATTATCAGAAAGCACTTCCCATCAAGACAGAAATTGGCGACAAACGTGGACAAGCAACATGCTACATGAACCTAGGAAACGTGTCTAGTTCTGTCGGAGAATATGCCAAGGCTGAAGAATATTATCAGAAAGCACTTCCCATCAAGACAGAAATTGGCGACAAACGCGGACAAGCGTCATGCTACATAAACCTAGGAAACGTGTTTTATTCTGTCGGAGAATATGCCAAGGCTGAACAATATCTTCAGAAAGCACTTCCCATCAAGACAGAAATTGGCGACAAACACGGACAAGCGTCATGCTACATAAGCCTAGGAAGGGTGTTTTGTTCTGTCGGAGAATATGCCAAGGCTGAAGAATATCTTCAGAAAGCACTTACCATCAACACAGAAATTGGCGACAAACACGGACAAGGGTCATGCTACATAAGCCTAGGAAGCGTGTTTCATTCTGTCGGAGAATATGCCAAGGCTGAAGAATATCTTCAGAAAGCACTTCCCATCAACACAGGAATTGGCGACAAACACGGACAAGCGTCATGCTACATAAGCCTAGGAGGGGTGTTTTATTCTGTCGGAGAATATGCCAAGGCTGAAGAATATCTTCAGAAAGCACTTACCATCAACACAGAAATTGGCGACAAACACGGACAAGGGTCATGCTACATACACCTAGGAAACGTGTTTCATTCTGTCGGAGAATATGCCAAGGCTGAAGAATATCTTCAGAAAGCACTTCCCATCAACACAGAAATTGGCGACAAACGCGGACAAGCGTCATGCTACATACACCTAGGAAACGTGTTTCATTCTGTCGGAGAATATGCCAAGGCTGAAGAATATCTTCAGAAAGCACTTCCCATCAACACAGAAATTGGCAACAAACACGGACAAGCAACATGCTGCTACATGAACCTAGGAAACGTGTTTTATTCTGTCGCAGAATATGCCAAGGCTGAAGAATATCTTCGGAAAGCACTTCCCATCAAGACAGAAATTGGCCACAAACACGGACAAGCGTCATGCTACATAAACCTAGGAAACGTGTTTCGTTCTGTTGGAGAATATGCCAAGGCTGAAGAATATCTTCAGAAAGCACTTACCATCAAGACAGAAATTGGCGACAAACACGGACAAGCGTCATGCTACATAAACCTAGGAAACGTGTTTTATTCTGTCGGAGAATATGCCAAGGCTGAAGAATATCTTCAGAAAGCACTTACCATCAAGACAGAAATTGGCGACAAAGACGGACAAGCGTCATGCTACGGAAGCCTAGGAAACGTGTTTCGTTCTGTCGGAGAATATGCCAAGGCTGAAGAATATCTTCAGAAAGCACTTACCATCAAGACAGAAATTGGCGACAAACACGGACAAGCGTCATGCTACATAAACCTAGGAAACGTGTTTCATTCTGTTGGAGAATATGCCAAGGCTGAAGAATATCTTCAGAAAGCACTTACCATCAACACAGAAATTGGCGACAAACACGGACAAGCGTCATGCTACATAAACCTAGGAAACGTGTTTCATTCTGTCGGAGAATATGCCAAGGCTGAAGAATATTATCAGAAAGCACTTCCCATCAAGACAGAAATTGGCGACAAACACGGACAAGCGTCATGCTACATGAACCTAGGAAACGTGCTTCGTTCTGTCGGAGAATATGCCAAGGCTGAAGAATATCTTCAGAAAGCACTTCCCATCAACACAGAAATTGGCGACAAACACGGACAAGCGTCATGCTACATAAACCTAGGAAACGTGTTTCTTTCTGTCGGAGAATATGCCAAGGCTGAAGAATATTTTAGAAAAGCACTTCCCATCAAGACAGAAATTGGCAACAAACACGGACAAGCGTCATGCTACATAAACCTAGGAAACGTGTTTCTTTCTGTCGGAGATTATGCCAAGGCTGAAGAATATCTTCAGAAAGCACTTCCCATCAACACAGAAATTGGCGACAAACACGGACAAGCGTTATGCTACATAAACCTGGGAAACGTGTCTTGTTCTGTCGGAGAATATGCCAAGGCTGAAGAATATTATCAGAAAGCACTTCCCATCAAGACAGAAATTGGCGACAAACACGGACAAGCGTCATGCTACATAAACCTAGGAAACGTGTTTCGTTCTGTCGGAGAATATGCCAAGGCTGAAGAATATCTTCAGAAAGCACTTCCCATCAACACAAAATTGGCGACAAACACGGACAAGCGTCATGCTACATAAACCTAGGAAGCGTGTTTCTTTCTGTCGGAGAATATGCCAAGGCTGAAGAATATCTTCAGAAAGCACTTCCCATCAACACAGAAATTGGCGACAAACACGGACAAGCGTCATGCTACATAAACCTAGGAAGCGTGTTTCGTTCTGTCGGAGAATATGCCAAGGCTGAAGAATATCTTCAGAAAGCACTTCCCATCAACACAGAAATTGGCGACAAACACGGACAAGCGTCATGCTACATAAACCTAGGAAGCGTGTTTCTTTCTGTCGGAGAATATGCCAAGGCTGAAGAATATTTTAGAAAAGCTATTCAACTTAGCATGGACACTGGAGTCATCGAATTGCAGTTTACAGCTCACCTAAGTTTAAATTATTGTTCTTTAGCATTAACAGGAAACGCATCTGAAGCTTTATCGAATCTCCGTACTAGCATTGAGAAGTGCGAGATAATGCTTAACTTTCTACCAAACAAAGATCGATACAAGATATTATTTTTTGATGAGCACGCGTCCCCCTATCGACTGTTTAGTTCACTGTGTTGTGCTTCTGGGAAACACTATGAGGTTTTTACACGTTGCTGAGCTTGGCAGAGCCAGAGCTCTAGTAGACCTAGTATCAGATCGGTATTTTGTGGAGAAAGAAGTATCCCTCGACCCAGAATCGTTTGCTGGCATTTTGAAGGTCATTAGAGATAGTAGTAACCGTACTTGCCTACACATTTCCTACCATGGTGAAGATATATTTCTTTGGACTGCAAAACAAAGCAAGCCGATAGCTTTCCGAAAAACGAAACTTTCTGAGAGCTATGTTAGCAAGCACGGAAAACTGTCTGTGGATGACCTGTTTAAAAAGGGAAGATTATTAAGAAATTTTCACGTTTTACCTCAAGAGCAATGCGAAGACCGATCACTCTTCTCCTCGTACGCCAACCAACTTACAAACGAAGCAAATCTGGAAGATAGTCTCTCATCCTTGCGTCCTGTTTGGGATGAGGAAGAAGTAAACACAAACCCTGAACCGCTAACACTGCTTCAGCTTTACAACATGTTGATTGCTCCCGTAAGTGACTTGCTAGAAGGATCTGAAATCATTGTTGTTCCTGATCGCTGCTTGTTCCAAGTTCCGTTTGCAGCATTACATGATGACTGTAACTGCTATTTGTCAGATTCTTTCAGGATACGTATTGTCCCTTCTTTGACGACTCTCAAGCTCATTCTGGACAGTCCAGCGGGCTCTCACAGCGAAACTGGTGCATTGATTGTGGGTGAGCCGAATGTAACGGATGTGTATTTCAAGGGAGAGTTAAGGTACCTCTGTAAATTGCCTGGCGCGAAAGCGGAAGCAAAGATGATAGCAAGACTACTACCTGAATCTCACCTTTTAATAGGAGAGCAAGCAACAAAGGAGGCGGTTCTTCAGAGGATACCCTCAGTAAGTCTCGTACATTTCGCTGCTCATGGTGACGCCGAAAGAGGGGAAATTGCTCTTACCCCTCCCGACTCCACTATGGGGATTCCACATGAACAAGACTACTTACTCTCAATGGCCGACATCTCACAAGTTAGACTAACCGCCAAACTGGTGGTCCTTAGCTGTTGCCATACCGCACGTGGACAGATCAAAACAGAAGGGGTTGTTGGAATCGCTCGAGCATTCTTAGGATCGGGTGCACGCTCAGTAATGGTGGCATTGTGGGCCTTACAAGACGATGCAACGGAGCAGTTCATGAGAATATTCTACGAAAACCTTGTCCAAGGAGAAAGTGCAAGTGAATGTCTTCACCGGGCCATGAAGTGGATGCGAAATAACGGTTTCTCTGAAGTGAGGCAGTGGGCACCTTTCATGCTGATTGGGGATGACGTGTCATTCCACTTTGGTGAAGAATTAAAAGTAAAGTGAAGGTAATTGCTTTCCAATAATAAGGGCCATAGGAAGTCTGCCGGGTCTTTTTGTATTGCAGTTTCATCAACTTTACATCATGTACTTTTAAGTACTAGATAAAAAGCAGTATTTATACTAAAAAGCCACATTGTTGACTAAATCTGAAGTCAGCTTTTACAATGACTGAGGTAAAATATCAATCAACCGTTTCTTTAACATCGAAGATACTAAACAATACTGACCGGACGCTTCATCTAGCGCTTCGCGTTATCCCATATGTGTATTTGTTGTTAGGCTATAGTTAAGATCATTTCTTTTTTTCCTTCGTCGACTAATGTTACTTTTAGTTGTATTAAGTTGTATTTTTTTTTTCTGTAAACATGACCCGCCTACCCGCGGGCATGTTATAATTATACTTTTACCTCAAAACACAAAAAAAATGTATGTATATATGTAAACACCACAATTATTTGACCACACTTCGGTATTTATCAGTCAAAATCACAACCTATGCATATGTGAGGCTTTGCATTTAAAAACAAAAACACTAAAGCCCCGTATTCCTACAGTAACACAGAATGATTTTAAATCTTTTCTCTTTTCCTTATATATGAAGCACAAATAATTGAATATTGTTTCGGAATAAAAATATTATGGCGGAGATCTAGATCTGAAAATTGATCGAAAACCCCGAAAACTACAAATTGTGGACTGTGTATGGAGTTTTGACCGTAACTACAGGGCTTTTCACGGACACTGACTGAAGTACAGCAGTACACTGGTTCTAAACTTGGACCAAAGAGGAAAGACTGAGATTCGAGAGGTCATCAAGGAAAGAAGTTTCAAACCTATTTTAGCTGTGCACCCTGTTTTTCATTTATGATGCCAATAATTGGAAAGTTTTAGCGGTGAGATAAATTTAAATAAGTAATTAAACCTCTTCCGTGACAATAAAGCCGGAGGATCCCTCTTCCATGTAAAATGAACCTAAATGCCATTTACCTCAGCTGAAGTCTTTTGTAATGAATATATGTGTTTTACTAATTTTTATGTTTCCTATACATTACTGTTGCAGGTATTACACTAACGACACACCATGGAATAACAAAACAGCCCTTCCGCTGAATTCCAATGAGGTAGTTCGTGGTGGAAAATGTAAAGGTCAACCTCTTCAGCATACGAACATAACCCAGACTAGAAGAATTCAAAAGAGAACTGACTTGCTTGGCCCAGCCGCTCATGTTTGTCGACTTAATTATTTTTCCCACTGATTTTAATCTGTGTGTGTACGTGGGTGTGTGTTTGAGTGTAGGTACCTTGAATACTCTAATCTCTAAAATGTCTTGCAAAAGTGCTGATCACCAGCCTTGTAAAAGTGTACATCGGTAGCTCGGACAAATGATACAACTGTAATTGCGACACGAATAACATTTCCCTATCTATTTAGGTTATTTGGTAACTTAATTTCTTGATTAGTTCCCAGGGCTACAACTAAAAAATACTTTTCACGTAAACGAGATTCTTAATGCAAATGAAGTGCAAATACAAACAACACTGCAAGATTTATAGTTTAGTAGAATTGTACATATTTTAGAATCAGTCTCTCCGTGAACATAGAAGTAGTAATTTTGCAACCTTGTCCAAACTCCAAACTAGTCATCACAGTTGTAAACTAAAGGTCATTTCATTGTATAATGTTGATGCCGGAGAATAGGTTATATAGTAGTTGTTTTAAGTATAATCCACCTAAAAAGCAAAGATTTGGTGGTCCAGTTTTCTGTAGTGCTTTGAGTAGGAACAGCATGTCTCGAATCCGAGAAGGTCGCACATGGAGGTTTCATTGTAATCTGTATATACATGTACGTGATCTATATAAAATGCCAAGACTTGGTGGTCCAGTTTTCAGTAGTGCTTTGAGTATTAAAACTAATCTTAGTCTGAGTTTGAACAACATGTCGCGAATCCGAGAAGGTCGCACATGGAGGTTTCATTGTAATTTCTATATATGTAATCCATATAAAATGCCAAGAGTTGGTGGTCCAGTTTTCAGTATTGCTTTTAGTAGGTAAGCTAATTTTAGTAGTTTGAACAGTTCAATATCCTTCTTGCATACTTATTAGCATTTAGTTATGGGAAGTCACCCCAGACGAGCTAGCTCGATGGGGAAGACACGTAGGTGCTAATAAAGTAAGCAGAAGGGGCGGGTGGGTGGGGGCGACTCCAACTAAAGTTAGTCAGACTGACAACTGTGAATAATTAACACATGCTTATATACTATGCGCGAAGTCTATTGAATATTAATAAGGTATAAATAGTTCAATATCCTTCTTGCATACTTATTAGCATTTAGTTATGGGAAGTCACCCCAGACTGCGCCTGTCGCTGTAGAATCCCCTACATAATCCTAACATAAACCCCATGATGAACTCTTACCCTTCCCAATCCTTAACTAAATTGAATTCTCCCAACCCTAACTAATCCCCAAACCCATACAAAAAAATCTTAACAAATCGCCACAAGTCAATGAGGGTTGTCCAATACTCGCCACTTGTTCAAATGGTGAAAGTCGTGGTGTGTGTGTTTCTGTGTGCTTCAACTTGTACGAAGGGTAAAAGTGGTTAGATCAGCCTTTCAATTCATGCGATTGGTACTAGTCGTGAATGGGAGATAGTTCCGTGTGATAACTTGAGGTATGACATATAGTGAAACTGCATCTCACTTGCACGTGCAACTGGAGAACACGCATCTCATTAGCGACACAAAGACTTGGCTGGCAAAGTTGTCGTGAGGGGACCCTTTCAAGTGGTACGACTCGTTCGAGTCGGGCAAATCACATCTGCTAGAGAGAGGTTACACGGGATCTCCCACGTACGACCCTCTCATAAATAAATTTTGAGACAGAAAACTAGCCCTTCGACATAAAAGAGAAATCTTGCCTTTTGTGCGTCACACCATACCGTCACACTAAGTGCCTAACTTAAAGCAAAGTCGCGTGAGAAACTAGCATTGAATATAACAACAACCATTACTGAGCGAAATTTGCAAGAGTCTGCCCCTCATATCCTACAAACGAGCACCGGCGTGGGAGCCAAACTATCAAAAGGCTACAACACGCGCCGGGCACGGGAAGTCATGGAGGCCAGTCAAACCCCTTTTACACCTGTTACACGGTATTGTACGCATTAGTATTTACGCAATCATTTTAACGCGTCGGCGGCCTCAGCATGGTTAGGTGCGCGATTCAATTAAATGAAGTGAGGCGCACTGGATTATGGAACGGGGACCACCAACCCACGTGATCCTTGTTAACTTTGTCCTAGCATTGCGGGAGAAATTATATATGTAGTTTCCAAATCGCGTAAGGGTGGCTCCCCGGTTAGCCTGGGCTCGTACGGGACTAGTGTAGATGGAAACTTTGTGCGCGATCTATTTTGATTGAAAGGGGCCAGGATAACCTCTAACAAACCCAATGCAGATCTGCACCACAATAATCACACAAAGAGGGCAGAGTGTGCTTGACACCAGGGAACAAGTGATCTTTCTAGCAATTCTTGGGTTGCACGTGACGTCACCAAAAATCAAACTAAGAAACTATCGATTCTTCTGAGTTTCTACTTTCACGAGGTATTACAGTACCTAAACACCTTTACATAAACAAATTTTTGGTTCGAAAGGATTCTTCGTTTTGCGAGAGAGGACGCATGAATTTCCAGGCTTTTGCGTGACGCGGCGGCCGGGAAAGCTCTTATGTGGGTTAAAAACATTACCGATTTTGGGAGATTTCGCAATCTAAACATTCCTTGTCTCAGAATAAATATTACTGTAATCTTTATGAGTTCGTCAAGCGAAGAATTCACGCATCAGTTGGAAAACTCGAAAACAGATGTTTCTGTTGGTATCCGGCGGCCATATTGGTGTTCCTGACAGGGACACCAACATGGCGTTTCCATACAAAGCTTTATAAATTTAGGTAAACCGTTTTTCCCAATATCTCGCATTTGAAATATCTCACAGACCTGATTCTTGGCAAGGGTTTTTGTATGTTTATCTTTTTTCATTTCCCAGATTCTAGTCCTTCTGTATTGAATGGTTTGCATTTTTATTTTTCATTGCGTGACAGTGCAAGCCGAGAATAGTGTAATATTACAGGTACATCTGATGTTACAACCAAATGTAAGCCCTTTAGGAAGCAACCGGTGTCGGTTGTTTGAGTCGACCCCAAACTCCTACCCCATTACCAGCAAATAAGCTGAGAGTGCCCGGAAAGGGTCGATACCTTCTGTGACGAGAAATGAACCTGAGTTGACGAGTAATAACTATTCACGAATGCAAACCCGTAAAACCCGAAAGGATGGCTCTCGTAACTGTGTGTTCTCATCTATATGGCTGAATAATGAGGGCTTGGGTGAGGGTTACAGCGATCTTAACGCGTCTACGTTGCCCTCCCAGTTTCCATAAATTGAGTAAGCCAACTTGGGCTCTTAAATCGCTTGGCGAAGGAAGAGGATATGGCTCCCTTCCTATAAAACGATGCGATTTCAGCAAAATCTGCAGTCTTTCGTGAAAAGGGGGTTGTCAACTGAACAAAACAAAACGTCCACACAATGCATATTAAAGATTATGACTCTTTGTGAAGCACAGTCAAAACGATTGAAAATGCTAACTCTCGTGTACTAGATATTACGCCACTTAAAAGACCAAATATGAAAGGCTAGAAATAAAAAGCGAGCTTAAAAGCTGTCTCATACTGCTCACGACCCGTGTATAGCCGACTTAGAGATCTACAATCAGGGACAAAAGTAGTTGACACACTTGTCTAAAACGCACGCTTTCAGTAACAATTTCCTACCTGTTACATACGACTGTGTTTAAAGGCCTTAAATACCCCCACCCCTAAATCAATGTTGTTTTCAGTTGAAGAAAGACTTGATGATATAAAATACAACATTGATTTTGGGGGAAGGGGGTAGGGGGACAGAGGGGAAGGGGATAGGTATGTCCACTATGAAAAAAAGGGGCATTTTACAGAAGTGTGTCAACACTTTTGTCCCTCATTGTCTGAAGGCAAAATTGTGTTACATGTTGAGCATTGTGTGACAATGAAACTGAGTGAAATTAAAGCAATCAGAGCGATATTCAAGTTATTGTTGGTTGGAGTGAAATTGACTTAATTACGTCCGAATTATGGGCCTAATACCAATTACGGGATTACGTAACAAAAGGGCACCGATTGTCAGAATTGACGGCGATATGGTTTTCAAGGGAAAAATCGACCCAGAAACACGCGCATATGTACGTTTTTTGGTCAGATTCAAGGGTATGTCTACCAAAAAAATTTTAGATGAAGTGAAAATTTCACGTTCTTCACTTTACCGCATTGTACGAGCGCAAACACTGAATGGTCAGTGTCAAGATCGAGTTGTGAGAAAGAAAGTCACTGGGCGGCCACGGGAATTGAGCCATAGAGAGGAGCGACTGTTGCTGCGCAGCATTCCAAAACTGCGTAAATCCGATGGAAAATTCACGATAAAGCGTTTAATGCAAAAAGCAGGGGTAGACATAGCTCGCGTGTCAACTAAGACCGTCCAACGATTCCTCCATAGAGAAGGTTACCAGTATTTACACGCACGTCAAAAGGGCCTCTTAACCGAAACAGACCTGGTTAAGCGTTTAAAATTTGCACGAAAGATGAAAAGAGATCATTCTACGAACTTCTGGACAGAGAACATCTCTTTCTACTTAGATGGTGTGAGTTTTGTTCATAAGTACAACCCCGCTGACCAAGCGCGGGCACCAAGTGGGCGTATATGGAGAAAACAACAAGAGGGCCTAGCCTTTGGCTGCACAGCCAAAGGTTCCCATTGCGGGACTGGTGGAAGAGTAGCGAGATTTATGATTGCCCTTAGCTATGGTAAAGGGGTAGTTCTATGTGAACAGTATGAAACCTTGAACGGACAATACTTTAAAAGTCTGATTGAACGAGAATTTCCGCGTATGTTCAGAGTCTGCAATAAGGGGAGACCAAAACTATTTATGCAAGACAATGATCCTAGTCAAAACTAGGTGTTAGCTCGCACCGCTTGGAGGCGATTGGGAGCCAAGATAGTGCCCCTTCCTCCAAGAAGTGGTGATATTCATTTCATAGAAAATATTTTTCACATTGCAAAGATGGCTTTGGAGAAGGACGCATTAGACAGGAACATAACACACGAGACATTTCAGGAGTTTTCTGAGCGCGTAGCTACCACTTTTCATAGTCTAGATACAGCTTTAATTGACATGACAATTGAAAGTATGAATCACAGAATAGAATTATTGATTGAAAACGAAGGACAGCGTACAAGATATTAAAGTCGTACACTAGAGCAATAGAGAAATAAAATAACTGTCAATTAGAACAGGCAATACACAGTGTGACATGATAACGCAACGCAAACAGCGTGACATCGGCGCATACCATATCCCTAGAGTGTTTGTTTTCGCACGAAAATCTTTTTTCCTGGGAAAATTCATCAACAAAAATGAAACTAATCTTTTCCAACATGAACAGTTCTCTGAGTTACAACGAAAACAATAACTCAAACTGAAAAAAATCACTGCTTTCTTGGTGATGGAACGGTTAACCACATGTTAGCAATCAGTAAGCAATATAATGTATACAAGTCTTAAATGTCGATGTGTTCTATCGTGGTTAACCGTGCAAACTCCTTATTTACACGACATCCGTACAATCTTTCTCGCCAAGAATAAGCTGTGCGAAGCACTTTCCACATGGGGTAATCTGCTTTTGCTTTTCTTGCGGAATTTGCGCATGAAAGCGAAAAATTCTCCAGCGCACGGCCATCATCTCTGTCTCCTTCTCATCAATAGTGCAATTCTTCACGAAAATAATGGGGTTTTTTCCGGTGGCGAAAATTGGCGTGTCTTTCTCAAAGACAATATCTTTTGCATAATGGGATTTAGGGGCTGGTAAATGAACTGTCCCTCCAACATTAATAGGAAATCATGCCACTGGATAACAGCCGGGGACCATCTGAAATCATTCAAAAAAATACATTCAGCCTGTTCCGCGCCAACCCATGCAAAACTTGTGGACGCTGGGTTTGAAAAGGTGTTAAAAATGACATTAAGAGGGTTGAGCAGAAATGTTTTTGCGCAGTTGGCTGGGCCTACGATCATAAGATTCCTGTATTTTCCTCGTCCTTTCTCTAATAATTCATGCACACAATGTCCAAAATAGTTTATGTCCACTCCGTTACCCTGGAGTACTTCTTTCGCTGAAATTAACCATTGTCCAGAACAATTTTGTACGCATTCTCCCTCTCTTGCTTCCTTTGATAGCTGGATTCTGCTTTTCCTCTGCCTTTCTAGGTTATCTTTAGAATTTTCCAGCTCCCAGGTAGTAGCCAGCACGTCTGCTACAACTTTCGCACCTCTATTTACAATAAACTCTGCGATGTCGGTTTTCCCCTCTACTTTTTGCTCTCTTGCAAGGGCTAGTAGTTCAGTTCTTGACTTAACGTTTTTAGCTAGAATGATTTCCGATAACTCATATGAGGTCATACGTTTCTTCTTACTTTTTACTATCTTCTTGTTCGCTCTTTTTTTCCCCGTCGTTTTTTTCCTTGTGCTTGTTTGGGCATCACTAAGCGCCTCACAGTTGTCCGTTGACAACGCACCTTTCTCTCTCTTTTCCATGGCTGTGGTCCTTTTGGTTGAAGAGGCCTTGGTGGTTCTTGGAGCAGTTGCACTTGTAAGGTCAGGATGTCCGTCACTCTGAATATAATCTCGGTCTTCTTTCGTAACATATTTCCATGCGCTGAAATAGTTTTCGTGCGTGTCGGAGAAATGTACAGAAATACCACACCTCTCTAACAGGTATCGTTTGCTGGGAAGCCACCGCTGGTTCTTGTCCAGCTTCATTGCCATGTGGAAATGTACACCCGATTGTACGTGCTGTTCCAGACAGCAACACCACTGTAAAACTTTCGCAGGCGTGTCCGCGAAGGACTGTACAACAGCCTCCGCAAACGAAGACCTTGTTGGAAAGTAGACTGTTCACAGTCGTCTATTTTTCCGTAAGATCATCGATATCGAGAGCTTTGCGTTACGGGCTACCCATCTTGCATGAGTGTCAACACTACCTAGGGGGCGGGGGCGGTTTGGGAGAAAGCGAGAAAAATAGACGAAATAATCTATTTTTCTCGCCCTTCCCCCCAGCCATAATCCCCGCCGCCCGCCCCCTCGGTACATTTTAAAATCAAGATAGCCGTTACGGTAAGAAGACGCGGTATATCTAAACGATCTCACGAAAAAATAGGGGACTGTGAACAGTCTAGTTGGAAAGCGCTCCGTATCAACCATGCTATAGGTTATCAGGTAAATTTGACGTACATTGCGTGCGTTCATTTCACACGTGTTGAACTCATACACAGCTTGGCTTGTCTCTACTTCTGAACTGACATGATCACACTCATCGTTACCTACTTCCTCCATCGTTGTACCTGACTTCTCAGAATACTTATGAAAAGATAGCGTCCCCAGCAACGGCACTGTTTACAACACAACTGATCTCGCTGATAAGACCAGCGAGGCTGATGCTGTGATTGCGATTGAGAACTGTATTCGTGACGTTCGCGCATGGATGAGAGATGATAAGTTAATGCTGAATGACGACAAAACTGAGTTCTTGATCATTGGCACGGAACGACAGTTATCAAAGGTGTCCGTTGACAAGATCACGATCGGCCAAGCTGAGGTATCGCCTGCCTCTTCAGTGCGCAATTTGGGCACCTGGTTCGATTCTCATCTGGACATGTCGACTCATGTGTCTAAGACTTGTGCTAGCGCGTTTTATTATTTGTACAATATCCGGCACATTAGGAAGTATTTGTCTCGTGAGTCCACCGAGAGGCTTGTTCACGCGTTCATCACAAGCAGGCTTGACTACTGTAATGGTTTATTGTACGGTGTTCCTGAGTATCAAATTAAGAAACTTCAAAGAGTCATGAATGCCAGTGCTCGATTGGTTTACTGCGCACCTAAGTATTGTCACGTTACTCCTTTGCTAAGAGAACTCCACTGGCTACCAGTGCGCTTGCGCGTAGATTTTAAGATTCTCCTTGTTACATTTAAGATTCTTCACGGTGTTGCGCCTAGCTATCTTAAGGATCTTGTCTCTGTCTTACCGGACTCACGTTACCAGCTACGCCGTAACAATAATGGTATATTGCTAGAAAGACCTCGGCTAAGAACGAAGAAGACTTTGGGAGATCGCGCGTTATCGATGGCTGCCCCCTTTTTATGGAACAGTCTTCCTCTGCCAATAAGACAGGAAACATCAATCGACTCTTTTAAACGCTCTGTTAAAACATATTTATTTAAGAAGGCTTTTAGTTAGATTATTTATTTATTTATTTATTTTTAAATATTGTAATTTTACCGGGTAATTTTACTGGTTTTTAATTTAGTTATTAATAATATTGTAATGCGCTTTTGAGTATTTTTATAGAAAAAGCGCAATATAAGTATTAAATATTATTATTATTATTATTATCTCCTACAGCGTATAAAGGACGCGCTCGGTAATATGAGAATGACTGAATGACGTACAATGCGTACATTTTATTGCAGATAAACAACCAAAAAGCACGAAATGTAAAAAATTGTTGTTGCAAAACTAAAAATTCATCCCCTACAGTCAATTCATCCCGCCAAAAATAATGTGAGTACAACCGCAAGCCGTAAAACATAAAATCCTTTTTCGGACAATCAGGGACAAAAGTAGTTGACACACTTGTCTAAAACGCACGCTTTCAGTAACAATTTCCTACCTGTTACATACGACTGTGTTTAAAGGCCTTAAATCCCCCCACCCCTAAATCAATGTTGTTTTCAGTTGAAGAAAGACTTGATGATATAAAATACAACATTGATTTTGGGGGAAGGGGGTAGGGGGACAGAGGGGAAGGGGATAGGTATGTCCACTATGAAAAAAAGGGGCATTTTACAGAAGTGTGTCAACACTTTTGTCCCTCATTGTAGTAACACCTGACGTTCCCTTCAAGTGAAAATCTTCGGGGGCAACAGATCTTCGAAAAGCAGATCTGTTTCCCTGGTGGGGTTGTTTCGACCGAAACTCGTGGTTCATGACTTCAACCCACCTCTGGTTACCATTGCAGAACCCCGCAACCGTTTTTCGGTAGATGGGACACATATGTGCAAGGAAAACACGCACGATTGCTGAACGGAATGTTCCGAACCTGAGTTTTTGTTTACCAATTTATAAAATGTTGAACCGACCGGGTAACAAACCTTGGGTCTCCTGAAAATACATCAGGATCCATTCTAACGGCCACACCCCAGGCAGCAGGAAATATCAAAATCATCGAGTGTGGAGCAAGCAGTCACAGATACTGATAGCAATACAAAATCTAGACATGCACACTACAAACATTTTCATCGCTTTAATTTTGATTGTTTAACAAAGGTAAAGAAGGGATATGTCTATCCCGTGGTTCATTCATTGCGAAACGCGTAGAGATCATGCAATCCCAGGGTAAACCAGGTATCAGCTGATAAAACATGCCACCTGTAATCTTCGAATAACACACTCCACAAACGCCCCCGCCGGTGTTGTAACGGACTCGCTCTCTCTTCGACGGTAAAATGAAACAAACTAAGCCCAATAAAGGAGAAAGCCAAAAGCACGGATGGTGTAATGCGGTTGCCGAAGCAGACAGAGAGGTAGATGAAGAATCCAACATCTAAAATTATACGTGTATGCACTCGTCTATATGTGCTCAACTTAGCAGGAAAATTTCACCAGACAAGGTTTGGAACCGAAGGACGACGCAACCACTAAAAGGAGACAGCTGCGTAACAGGCAAATATGTTTTCACAGGTTCCTAACGAGTCACCTTGCCCCAGAGATCTAAGAGCCGAACTTCGTGGCTTTCCAGGGCATACGCTAATGTGACCACCACTCCTAATCTAGGAATTCAATACCCGCGCCTTGACACAACCCGGACCATTTCTAAATATTTGGTGTAGCCACGAGAGACTGCGAGTTTTTTCCTGTTCTTTATTTTTTCATATTTTGCGTTGCGTAAAGTTAGTTTAATTAGTACCTTTGTTATCGCGCTTGGAGTAGTCTTTTGTTAGCCTTTTTTCATATGCGTATTCTTTCTGTATTCTAGTCTCAGGCGTTGCGTTACGTAATCGTTATTGTCAATTTTTGTAAGTTCGTTAGGTTCATTATTTTCAGTCCAGTTTAGTATAAAGGTTTATTTTTGGTTCATGTAAATCAGTCGCTTAGTTGTATCCGGAGTTGCCGTACAGATCTTGTAAGTATAGTTTTTCCTGTAATTTTTGCTCGTTTTCTTAGTCATTTGTTGTACTTTAAGTTATTGTTTTTGTAGGCTTTCGGTCCGCGTTTATTAATTCTGTATTTTCTTTTTTCTTTGCTGTAATTGTTCTAGTGAATCGAGAAGTAAAAGTCGAATTCAAACTGTACGAGAGTGTTCTTTACATGCATTCAAAGATCTGTTAGTGGATGTCATGTGTTCCGGAGTTGATCGGGAGTGGCAAAGAAGACGCCGTTTTCATTCTGAAGATGCTTTAGACAGTCTGCGACTGAAAAATTCAAGAGCTGGGTACTTGTCGAGAATAACCAAGTTGTACCGAGAAACTGAAGAACTCTTAAATGACTCAAAGAATGTCAATGAAGTTTCGGAGAAATTATTGGACATTGACGAAGCCTTTTCTCGCTTCGAGAAGGCGCATTACGATTACATTGCTACTTTATCAGGAAACTTAGAAGAATGGGAAAGCGAAGCACGTTATTTTAAAGAACATTGCAACCGAAAGGTGAATTTTGAATCAAGAATTGAACAATGGATTCATAGCGTAAAGGTGCCAGTTGTAACTCACGAAGATATAGACACACAGCCTGAAGATGTCGTCAGCACAGCGCATTTATCTATTAGACAGCTGAAGGCCAAGCAAGCGTTAGCTCATCTAAAGCTGAAACAGTTAACGCAAAAGCAAGAATTATTACGTCAGGAGGAAGAGACTAAATTAAAGTTAGAAGTTTTGGAGGCACAGTATGAAGTGCAAAAAACAGACCTGCAAGTTAAGTTGTTGCAAGATGAAGATATCGATTACCCTAATCTTCCGGAGGTGTTTAAAGAGCTGAATCCGTTTGATAAAGGAGTTGAAGGACGAGCTACAAGCGGCTATAAGCAGGAAGACCCTGAGCCCAGAGGCGGACAGAAATCAATTGAATCCAAACGTTCACAGTCACAGTTGAATCCCAATGCGCTAGAATTCAAAGGTCTACTAGCCAGATCCAGCACAGCCTCCTCTGTTTCAGAAAAGGAATATATTTTGCCTGAAGAATTTATAGGCAAGATGGCGTTAACCATAAAGCAGGGGTTTGCGTTGCCGAAGAAGGAGTTGGCAATCTTTGATGGTGATCCCCTCGAGTACTGGAATTTTATTAAATCGTTTGAAACAAGCATCGTCCCTAATGCAGCTAGCGAAAGCGAGAAGCTGATGTACCTTCTTCAGTACACATCGGGTGTAGCAAAGGACACGATCAAATGTTGTTTGTACAAGGATCCTTCCCTAGGATATCAAGCTGCAAGAAAGCTACTTGAAGAACGGTTCGGACATCCCTTCAGAATTGCCTCGCAGTACGTGACCAAGCTAACAGAAGGTCCTCCTCTGAAGCCTTCAGATCGTACAGGATTATTAGCATTTGCTGACCAGTTAAAGGATTGCGAAAATACACTTGAATCTATTGGCTACCTGGATGAAATCAATAGCGTCGACAACCTAAGAAGAATTGTTCAGAGGCTGCCGTTTCATCTCAGGACTAAATTTGTTGAAGTAGCAGACCAAATCCAGGAAGCAGGTCAAAGAACGAACATTAGTCACATTGCAGAATTTGTCAAAATCAAGGCGAGAGCTGCAAATAACCCTGTGTTTGGTTGCGTGATAGACGACGCACGAGGCAGATTGGATAGTCAGAGACATAAGCCTAAGCCTAAAAGAGCTACATTGCCCGATGAGCGCGGTAACGCATTCAGTACTCAAGAGATAGATTTCAGAGAAGGACAGTTGAGTTCACTTGGTCACAAAGAAGCCCCATCTACGAGATATGCAGTCTGCCCGGTATGCAAGGCAGCTCACCCCTTAGCGAAATGCAAGATTTTTATAGAGAAGAATTTCGAGGAACGTCTACAAGTGATGAGGAAACTCAGTTATGCCATAATTGCTTCAAGTACGGCCACATTGCAGTGGGATGCTTAGCAAGGAGTACATGTGAAGTCCAAGGTTGTAAGAGACGACACCATACTTTACTTCACCCTCCGCCCTCACAGCAATCAGTTGAAAACAGAACCAGA